TGCCCCTGGCTTTGTTTTCACTGATGATATGGAGCTTTTCCATAGTCTCTTTCCGCAGATGTGGTCAATTTGATTTCTATGTATTCCATCTGGTGAGGTGCATGTGTATAGTCATTTCTTATGCTATCTAAAAAAGGTATTTGAAATGAACAAATCATTGGTTTCGCAGAATTCTATCATGCGTTCTCCAGCATCATTTCTATCACCAAGGACATATTTTCAAACTACTGACCCTTCCTCTTTGCTCCCAACCTTTGCATTCCAATCACCAGTAATGATCAATATATCTTCATTGCATGTTTGATCGATTTCAGATTGAAGAATTTGGTAGAATTCTTCTATTTCATCCTCACTGGCTTTAGTGGTTGGTGCGTAAATTTGAATAATAGTGGTGTTAACTGGGCTTCCCTGTAGGCACATGGATATTATCCTATCACAGGCCGTGTTGTACATCATGACTGATCTGGATATGTTCTTTTTGACAGTGAATGCAAAACCATTCCTCTTCAATTTGTCATTCCCAGCATAGTAAACCATGTGGTTGTCAGATTCAAATGGCCAATAGCAGTCCATTTCAGCTCAATAATGCCTAAGATATTGATGTTTATGCATTCCATTCCATTTTCGACAACTTCCATTTTTCCCAGATTCATACTTCGTACATTACATGTTCCAATTTTCAATGGATGTTACAACTGTTTCTCTTCACTTTGAGCTGTGCCCCATCAGCAAATGAAGGTCCTGTGGGATTTTCTCCCACGGGCTTTACTCCATTCACTTTATCATGGTCAACTGTACTTTGAAGAGGCAGTTCTTCCCCAGTTGCATTTTGAGTGCCTTCCAACCTGAGGGGCTCATTTTCCGGCACTGTATCTGACAGTGTTTCTCTGCTATTCATAAGATAGAACAGCAAGAAGAAAAACGGATTGAAAAATCTGAAGAAAGTCTAATATTCATGCTGGATAACTTAAGAATTATTGGCATTCCAGAATAGGAAGCATCATAGAAGTCCATAGAAGAGATAGTTGAAGAACTTCTGGAAGAAAATTTTTCTAACATCTTCAAGGATGAGAAGATAAACATTCAAGAAGCTGAAAGAACCCCAGGAAGGACAAACCCCAAAAGAAAATCACTGAGACATATCATAATCAAGCTTTCCAAAATAAAGACAAGGAGAGAATCCTAAAAGCAGCTAGGGAAAAGAGAAGTGTCACTTACAAAGGCAAGCAAATCAGATTAAGCACTAACTTCTCACCAGAAACCATGCAGGCAAGAAGGCAATGGGAGACAT